TATATGCATGTGTGTAGACTAGGATGTCTACACACTAGGAGGCCTGTTAAATTTCAAGTGTGTTTATAACTGAGCCACCTGCATGTCCTTTAAACGAGTAAATGGTTGGAATAGTATACACATATCTGTTCTTTTAAGTAAAAAGTTCAATAAGTGTAAATAAAACATGTAAAATCAGGCAAATATTACACTAAACTGCTCTGAGCAGCTGTAAAAGTTTCAGTCATGCTTGATAAGCAGTTTGTCTGGTGAATGTTTCAATATTTGTGGTAAGTATGCCAGTCCATATGACACTGGGTGTATGCAGTTTTTTCTGAAAAGTGAGTAAAGCCTTTAGGCCATATATTTACACTGTTTGACTAAAACAAATATCTTGTGGTAAGTTACTGCAGGTACGCTGCCTGTGGTGGCTCTTATTCTGATCACTGTCTTACCAGTGGCTTTGCTGATTTTCTGCAAGAAGAGGAGGGCCAGTAAACCTAAAGGTGAGCCTAAAGTAAACATGCACATAAGACAGTGTCTTCATCACTTCAGAAAACACGGTATTGATGTCTATCGCCAACCTTAAACAAGCTGCCTTGCAAAAATGTATTAATATATGTAGCTGGTAATTCTTAAAAGTGCTTCTGCATCATGAACCCTGATTCCTCCCCAGCTCCCTAATCGAAGCTTGAGGCTTATGAGGGCGACTTATGGCAACTTTCTCACTTTAAAAAAAGGGTCGCAAGTTGCATAACAGTATCATCGCTCTGCCATATTTACCATAAAGTTTCTGTTTAACACCTTATATTCTTAGACTCCTAATGATGATACTGTTATACACTATGTTGTTGAACAAACATTTAGAGATCTAAGATTGAGTCAAAGTAAAAATATATATATAGCTTTGAATGACCAAAGAAACCACAAAGTTTTATCATCACTTCATTATTACAGTAAAAGGGGATCGAAAAACTGGATATTTGATGAGTGTTTAAAGTTAAAGTCATAAACACAACATCTGAGGTGCAGCCAGATGTGGCAGCTTCATGGCTTGTGATTTTGCTGTGGCAGTGAATGCAACTCTAACACCCATCTATGCCTCTCTATTTTTAACCACACGACCAGATGTTCATTGAGGATTCAGAACCGTGACTAGTCACAGCAAGTTATTGAACTCCTGACAGTTGTGAAGTCAGTAATCTTTGCAGTTTCTTATTAGAATAATGAGTGAAAAATTTTAATCAGGATAATAATCTTTGAGCTCCTTTGGTGTTAATGAATTGATGACAACAATGAGGCAACCCCCCCAAACAGGAATCGTTTTACAACTGGAGACCACTGACAATTTTACCTTCCCCATCTTTTGTCTTCTGTATTTTTGACTAATGTCACTACTGGTAGAATGAGGTGATACCTGGACCTTACACAGGTTGCATAGATAGTCCAACTCAGCAACATCAGCAGGGCTGGTATTTGCTACTTTGTGCAAAATGACCTCGAAAAGGTGTACTAGTGTGAAGGTCTCTGACTAAATATTCAGAAAAAGACTTCATGAGGGTGGCCTGAGTTGCCAATGTACTTTAGTGGGCCCTCTGTTCATTACCTGGCACCGTGGAGCCTGACTGACATTTGCCAAATGAGATTAATTGACATCTGATGTGTTTTTAAAGTGTTCCCTTAGGTTTTTTTAAACAGCGTTGGAGCAGCAGATGTTTACTGTTTGCATGTTCTTCAGGGCCTCCTGTGGAAACAGAGCCCCCTGACATTACAACGGTGAGTTTTAGGAATTACAAGACACCTGAACTTGATTTTAGCTTCATTTGATTTCAATTAACGTTTTTTTTTTGTCCTCCAGGCCAGTCAGTTGTATGAAGAGATCAGAGAGGAGGACAGATTGAGCAATTTACCTCCTGAAGGAGTATTTTCAATTTACACCACTGCCAAATGCCCCAAAGGAAACAGAGTTGAAAGCACAGATGACTACAGCCTTGTCACCTGTCCTCAGAACAAAGTAAGTACTTGATTTTTCAGGTTTCATGCCAGAGTATTTTTGGATTTTATCAGGTAGTGGGAACTGTGGAATCATCCATCAATATAAAGATCATGGTCCTCTTACAGTCAAGGATTCAGGATGATTTCATAAGAAGCACTTTGTGTTGCTGCAATTTGTTTTTGCATCATTATAGTATCTATTTCTGTGATTTCTACCTATTTTCTTTTTCTTTTCTTCTTTCTTTTTTTTCCCTTTTTCTTTTTTACTAACAAGGCACAGCTGGGTGTAACCCCCTTTTGTTAAATGATGTAAACTGTGAAAAAAAGAAATGTGAATTTGTGCTATATAAATTTGAATCTTTGTGTATTTGTACAATTTAATTTGTTTAGAAAATAGTTTCTAAAGACTGATTTGTATCTTCCAGAGTGAAGAGAACTTGAGTAAGATTGCTGCCACCAACAGCGCCCCCTGTGGCCATGCAGACGTTTTGTACTCCACGCCTCATGTACATTTCAGCACAGCCAACCACACCAAAGACGCCTCACCTCCTCTGTATTCTACTGTTGGAAACCATCAGTACTAATGTTATTACAGGCTTATTGCTATGATAGTTGTAGTTTGTTCAGACCAACTGGTAACACAAACTTTCTTCCATTAATCATGCCATTGTGATTTTTATTAGTCAGGGAAACAAGCAACTGCTGAAATAATGGATTTCATAGTGGATCAACAGGCATAATTGATTTGTAGCAACCTGATCATAGTCCATTGGATAGTCCACCTTTGTATTTAGCTGAGGAGTTTATAGAAAGTTAGCCTGTAGTTGATAACTACTTAAAAGTAGTTGGTACTAACTTCACACAACTTTGCACATGAAGAAAAGTTCTGGTTTAGTGCAAAGGAAAAAAACCACACGAACAATAATCAATGATCAAAGGTAATAAAGTAGTTCACACAATGATGATTGACTGATGATTCAATGACTAATGATTATCAAATAATAAGAAAAACAGTAAAATTATAAATAACATTTCCAGTGAAGTTTGTATTAAAGCCCGTTTTTTACATAATCTTTGAGAATTTCTGTATTTTGTTCACCATTTTTTTTCTTGGGCTATTACTTGAAATTGAGATGAATTGAATTGAATTTGCATACAAGCAGCAATGTCATCTCCTGCACATTTTATGTAAGCTGTTATTACAAAGCAAAACAGCTGATTTCAGTTCGCAAAATGTAAATATGCAGATTGGGGAACAAATTAAGCTTTATGTTTATGATGGAACTGCAGTCCTTACAGGCAATAAATAAATAATAGGCGGGATTAGTTGATCTAGTGACAGTTTCAGCAGATGCTGAATGGAGTGCTGAAAACAGAACATTAGAAATAAATTGATACTTAATCTTATACTTTTTCTTCACACATTTGTGGTGTTACGTTCTCTAACGTGCATCTTATATGATTTGCTCTGGGTAAACTGCACAGAATTTACTGAAGAATGCCAAAGACCACCCAAAAAATTGGACATAACTTTCAACTATGGCTGCAACGACTCATCAAGTCGTAACATCATGAAACTTCAACTCATGATAACTTCATTTAAAAAAATTCTTGACAAAATGTATTTTCTTCAATGCATTGTGTGATGTGCGGCTCTGTGGTGCACCGATGTGTTGAACTATGTAAATGCAAGTGTTTCACCCACATTTGCTATGAAACACAGACCTGCAATACCAATGTATTTAGGAGCAGCGTATGAATAAACAGTCTGACAACATTAAGCAGATGCAGCCTCAGTTTTAAACATAAAAACTGTTGGCAGCAGTAATGATGACGCTGGCACATTTTATTATGAAGCTGGATTCTGTTTACACACCAGGAAGAGCAAAGAGGCTGAGCTGTTACCAAGATGGTGAGCTCAGTGTAGAGTGAAAGAAAATGTGTTCGTTATCATATCGAGACTAGCTCTCTAGAGAGAGATCAAATTGGTGATTGTTTGATCTCCACTTGGTTGCATGCATGTACTTTGTGTGGCACACTGTGTGGTTTAGGAGGCAGGGTGTGTCTGTTTACCTTCTTGGTTGGGAGCCTGTCTCTGTTATAAAAAAAAAAATTAGATTATTAAAAGCTTATAAGCTACAGTGAGACTAGTTGCTGGCACCTTGTCTCACGGTCTTGAGGGTTGCACAGTAGCACTGTTGCACGCCTAGGGTCCTACAGCCGGTCGTATCCCCTGGCGTATTGCCCATGGTTTTGCGGGTTTACAGCTCAGCAAGCAAAAGCTTCTCTGGCCTGCTAGAGGCCTGCTAGAGGAACCCAGCTTGTTCTCGCAAGTTTCAGTCTCAGGCTTCCCAGTTCATAACATGTAACATAAAGCATTTCATTAACACCATAAGATAAACAATAAGAGCAGTGGTGTGGCGATGCTTCGTGTCTTACCCGTTGAGACATGGGAAACCCAGTGAGTGTGTTTGTGTGTTGTCTTCTGGTTTCTATGTTATGGCTGTCTTTGCCCTGTGTGAGTATGGCAGCCCGAATGTCTCATAAACGTATGACATCCCTCTCTATGCCTCTAGGAGACGGGCATGAAAGATGGTTCCTGAGGGGTACCTGGACCTTGTCCTCAGTGCCATCTTTCAAACAGCTTGAGGACACTGACCTGAAATGTCTGTCCCTGAAATTGCCTTCTTGCTGGGTATAATATCTACCAAAAAGATTAGTGAACTCCATGCTCCGTAGGTCCACAGGCGTTGCTGCAGGTGGTTGCCGGACAGGAAAGGGGTGATCCTCCAGCCCAACAATCATGCCGAAGGCTACGAATAACTCCCACTGAGGGCTTGAAGCAGGGATCAGCACCAGGCTGCCCTGTGCACTGTTCGTGTTCGTGTATGTCAGGCATATCCAGCCAATTAGGAGGACACTCTAGCTCTTTGTGAGCTCCCACTTTAGGATCCACTTTAGGCAGACATCTGTCTAAGTAAAATAAGAAATGTTGTATTAATTGCATTAATATTCGAAAATGTAAAAAAGCCAAAATCAATGTACATGGTCCAATTAGCCATACACGTTGGACACTGAATTATTATTATTAATTACTATTAATAATAATAATTCAGTGCTGCTGAAAACATCTGTTTTGTAACATTTAATGTAACATGTTACCAACCCAATTCAGTCATTACATTAGAGTTACAATTATGGCATTATTTGTCTTATACTTGCTGTTAAATTATTGTTTTTTTCCCCCCAGTTGTATCCATAAAGGTTGAGTCGAAAGAAAACAAATCAAACAGGCTTTTTGTTGTCCTGTGAACTCCTCCTCAGCTGATTTCTGTTCCTGAGGGAGAGGAAGATAGTGGAGCAGTCTACAGCGGAGATATAGTCATTGTAACTATATATCAACTATATATTTTTAGTAAACTACCTGTCACAAACCTCACGGTAACTCACAGTTTTGTGTCACTATTTGATGCAGCAATAGGGCTGTGCTCTTCATGCAAACTGATCCCAGGTGATTACGATATGATGGCAATCTGTCTGTGTTTATAAATTAGATTGTGATTAACTGCAAACCTGCACCACCAGGATCGGTTGCCTCATCCCAGGTGATTTGTGGACTTGCATTGCAACCATAGTGGTCGCCCAGAGGTTGAGTACGCTGCATGCTCAACGCTACAACACAGAGCAAACATCATCCCCAATGACACAGCGGCCAGGGAGGCAGAAGAACAGCACATCAAGAAGGCCCTAAGTAAATGTGGTTATCCCACCTGGACTTTTGTCAAAGCTGGAAAGACACCTAAAGAAAGCTCCAGCCGATCCAGGAGAGAAGGACAACCGCTGCCCAAGCGAAAACCTGCAGTGATCCCATATGTGTCAGGAGTATCAGAACAGTTGAGACGCATTTTTTCTAAACACCGGGTCTCTGTGGCTTTTAAACCCCAAAACACACTGCGCCAAAAATTGGTCCACCCCAAGGATAGAGTCCCCCGACCAGTGTTGGGTGCAATGTGTTACTAAGTAACGCGCTACTGTAATTAAATTACTTTTCCACTGAAAAAGTAGAGTAACTAATTACTGTTCATTTTTAGGTATTTTAATTACAGTTACTTACAATGTACTTGCGTTACATTGTAAAATAATTAAACTTGCTGAATATCATTATTTAATTTCAACAATTTATCTTCTAAACGTAGAAGTAAACTCTGCCGCTTTAACATCGTTGCAGTGCAGGTGCACGTCATTTTGCGCCAGTTTGCTGCATAGTCGTATTCTAAAGCGGAAGATGTCGGACTCGGCTGAAGCAAGTGGCTGTTTTTTGAAATGGACATATACCCGTCTCTTCACTTTTCTGAAACAAGCAGACAAGAATATTACAGTAATATGTAAGCTATGTCTGTTAGATATTTTAGTATTATGGGAGCATGTACTGGGTACCTTTTTTGATGATATTAGACAATGTTAGGGAAAATATTATAAAACACTTCTTCAGTAAAGACTCAGAGAAGAGAAACACAGAACTTGCTAGCAAGGGCAGTCTCTCAGACTCGCACTGAGCACTGCCCCTGGTCTTTATTTTGTGCTCCATTGAGCGTGTGTATGTGTGGGTGTGTTCAGAGTGTGACCCCATGGGCGACTTCCCTTGGCCTGCTGGTCTGGAAAATCCAACAGTTCATCTATATGTAAAGAAGGCACTTAAACTGGAACAGGCATAGCTGCGTTGATCCTGCCGTGGAACAATAGGACAAGGTGCATTCCTGGAGTGCACACCAAGCTTGCAGCCTGCTAAAGATCACACACAATTGATTATATGCCTCTAGGTATACATGGTTAAACATTTCCTAATGCAAATAACTACATGCAGTATCTACCATGTGCAAACTTATATCACTAAAGGATTCTAACTGTCTAGTGTTTAACGGACTTGTCAAAGTTATATTCAGATAATAGAATGCCCCTTTCAGAGCTAGGGGGAACTTCCTTATATGGTTGTAACTTGAAACTTGTTGACGCACGCACCCTTCTGCCTACAAAAACCCTGCACAAAAGAATAAACCTTTGAGTTGATTTTGGGAAAGCAACCTGAACAGTCTCTGTATCATTTTGTTCTCCTAACTGCTCCTGACGTCGTAACTAACCCGCTGACGGCATATCTGAGTGCTACTTGAGAATATTGCTGAGTGTTACTTAAGAATAATTTTGAATCTTATAGAGTAAAGACAAAACCACGCCTCGGAGAAACCCGATCCACGGACCAGACCCGGGACGGAGTTTCTTTCAATGTCCTGGGGAGAAAAAACTATCGGCTGCTGTTAATAGCACAAGTAATCTACTGACACGAGAGCATAGACGAACACTTCTGAGTGATTCTTGTTCATCATCCATGGATAACGCTGTGGCTACTCCTGCTAAGCAGGCAAAACCTGATTTTACTTCAGCAGCACAGAAAGCGTCTGAAGGTGAGCTTAAAAAATTATTGCAGGCTACATTGTGGAAGAGATGCTACTGCTGCGTACTGTAGAGTCTACGTCTTTAAAAAAAATTTATTTATTATTTAAAGAGTTTAATTTCTATTGTTTGCCGACTCGAGGTTTATAGGGATTTTAAGAAGTATTTAGTTAAATTACTTATTTAGTAATTAAGTTACTTTTCTGACACAGTAATTAGATAAATATTTTAAATACAATATTGACTAAGTAATTAGTAATGAGTAATTAATTACTTTTTTAAAGTAACTTACCCAACACTGCCCCCGACACAAACAGAGTAACATAGTGTCAGTGGTCATGAGAATTTGCATAATTATGATTAAGGAACTGACCTCCCAGCCCATTGTTCCTTCAGTGGGCTGGTTTCAGTCATTATGCAAATGTACTGTTTATAAGATTGAAACCTGCAGTCAGCTGAGACTGAAGAAGTCACTTGGATGAGTGACGAAACATTTCTCCCACAAAACGCTACGTCCAGATGAACAGATTCAACTTTTGGAGAGACAAAGGGAAGCAAAAGTAGACACACTGACATAGCACACAACACTGTCAAAGTAAAACAGGAAATACGACACATACGCACAGACACTCAGAGCTTCACACAACAACATAACAGACTCGGTAACAGAGGGAACACAGAGACAAGGGTGACTAGATGTGAAACGTGGGATCAGGACAAGCTAAAGACAAGATAAACAAACCCAGGAATAACAATCATCAAAGAATTTCTTTTCTTTCATTTTTCTTTTTTTATTTTGCCTGTCCTGTAACAAGAAATAAGCAGAAAAAGTATCCCTTTTGTTCATGTACATGGACAAAATTTACCTTTTTCCTTTTTATAAGCCAGCATGACTTTAGAATATTGTGTCATTAGGAAGGCTCATTCATGTCCATTCACCTGTTCTTGCTCCAGGTTTCCTTTTTTTTCCCTTTTTTT